GCCTATATGATTTGTCCTCGATGTTGGTATGATTGAAATATGTGAGCTTACCTTGTGTCTGACTTGGTTTGCTTGGGGACAAGCAAACGGTTAAGTGTGGGGGAGTTTGATAAGCCGTTAATTGCACATGTTTTTACCCCTATTCTAGAGCCGTTTGAGGTGTTGATTCTCGTGTTTTAGACCGATTTCACGCTAGTTTGTGCTTGTTTGTGATATTTCAGGTCCTAGTAAGTGAATGAAGGTTTGGGAGCGAGTTTGGGGTCGATTGGCAAAGATCGGACGCGTGGCGAGTCGCTGAGGAAGCCACACGGGCACACACAAAACCCTCACGGCCGTGGAAGCAACCAAGGTGGCCATGTGGGATTGTGCGAGCTTTCACACGGGCACAAATACAAACCACACGGCCGTGTGAAGGAGTAATTTGGCCGTGTGGAATTCTGCGAGGCTTCACACGGGCAGGCTGGGTGATCTACACGGCCGTGTGCCCCTGGCCGTGTAGGAAGCCTGAAACCCACATAATCGGAACGCCGCGTTTTGATCTCACACGAGCAACTGGGTATGCCACACGGCCGTGTGGCCTGGCCGTGTGAGTCGGGATTTTCTGGTTTTAAGCCAATTTCCAGCCACAAGTGAAGGGGATTCGAGTTTTAGAGAGACATAGCGATTCCTATAAAGAGAAAGCGGCGAACAAGAGTGCCCAAGTGCCCTAGCTTGATCTTCATCACCATTGGAGCTTGGCTTGAGCTTGGAGTAGTGCCGATCAACGCCCAGGAGCAAAAATCCATCCTTCACAGTATGGTTTCCGCATCTAAATCTGCTTTTGCTTCTTTCTCCATGGAGTAGTTCTCCCATTCATCTGGTATGGGAAACCCTAGATTTGTTTGTTAGGTTTGATTGTATGAACCCAAGTACAGATTTCATGAGTTGATTATATTCGATTGAGGCTTGAATGATTGAATGACTTGAATCCTGATCAAATTCCTGTTGTTTCTGATTTAACCTAGAATGAGAATATCTGCCTAGGTTGATAGAGCACCCTTAATTGAAGGTGGCGAATTGGTGACTTTAGTCGAGGAGCCAATTCGCTATTCTGTACCGAATTCAATTCGGTAGTGGAGGTTTGGTTCGTTAGAGCCTCAATCTGTTTACTCCGGTGGAGGTTAGTCGCCCATTGGAGACTCAGATTGAGAGGGTCTGGAGACCTTTAGTCGAGACTTCAGACTGTTTACGAACCTTCCGCAGTATAACTTTCATGGAAACTGAACTTGGTAAATTGCAATCCGGCTTAACTGCAGTCTAGGGGGAGCCATATCCAGGTGACCTCTCTCGACTTGAAAACAACCGTTTAACTTGCCTTGTGTTTTTGTTTGTTTGAACCTGCACTTAAGTTTTCACCTCTAGATAATAAGAATTCACTGAGTAGTCATCATATCTAGGACCCGGGTTGACATTAAAACCCAAACCCGCTATACTACACTTTAGGAAGTGGTTACACTTGGCCAATTTCTAGAGTGACAGTAGGAGTGAGTCAAGTTTTTGGCGCCGTTGCCGGGGACGGCTAGGTTGTTGAAGAAAAGTGATTTCTGTTAATTTAGCTTTTCTTTTCGCATTGTTTGCTTTGTCCCACTTGTGCCTTCACGGGTTTGCTTGCTTGAGTGTGTGCAGGTAGTGCATGACCCGTAGCCAGTCGGGAGGTTTACTGCCTATGAATCCAGAGATTGAACGCACCTGTCGCCAACTCAGGAGACAACAGTGAGCTAGACTGGCTACGGAGGAGCGCATAGACAGCCATTTGAGCAGCGAGTCCAAGAACGAGTATGAGATGGAAGGAGATTACAATCCACACCAGGGGAATCCTTACCAGGCTCCCCCGGTAAATCAGGTATTGGGGAACTACCCCATACCCCAGGCAGATGGGTTTCATCACCATCCACCGCCGCCGGGTCCCACCTTGGAGTACTACTACACTCCACGGATTGCTGACATCCGCCCGGTCATCCTCTACCCGCCTATTCCAGCGAACAATTTTGAGATCAAGCCATGCTGGATTCAACTCATTACATCCTCTATCCAGTTCCATGGCTTGATGGATGAGGAGGCAAGGGTGCATCTTTCCCGTTTTCTGCAGCTGACGAACGGGTTCAAGCTGAACGGTGTCCCTGATGATGCAATCCGCCTTCACCTCTTCCCCCATTTCTCGCGGGGAATGCCAAGAGGTGGTTGGAGACCCAGCCCCCATTGTCCATCACTTCTTAAGATGATCTGGCTGACAAGTTCGTGCACAGGTACTACCCAACATCGAAGACCACAGAGATCCAGCGGGAGATCACTCACTTCCGCCAAGAGCCAGACGAGTCACTTCGTGATGCATGGGAGCGGTACATGGGATATTTCTGGCAGTGTCCCCATCATGGCTTCAGTGATGCACTCACAGTGGGGAACTTCTACAGTGCCCTCTCTCCGGACAGCCAGAGGGTGATTGAGTATCTATGCCCAGGAGGGGATATTCTTACTAAGACTCCACCTGAACTGAACCAGATGATCAGTACCTTGGCTGCTAGAGATCATTCCTGGGGGCAGAGCAGCAGTGGCAGAAATTCCCGGGACCGTGGTGTGCACGCCATGGCGGCCAGGTTTGGGCTCGAGCAGCAGGTGGCCGAGTTAGTGCAGACATTGAAGCAACCCAACAGTCTTATTCCGGGCAGAGGTTTGGCTACACCTCCAGTAGCTCAATGTCAGTGGTGTGAGAGCTCAATTCACCTAGTGGAAGACTGCCAGGCTATGAGGGAGTCAACTACTCCCCAAGAGCAGTTGGACTTCATCGCCAATGCTCGGCGCTTTGACCCCTACAGCAATACATATAATGAGGGGTGGCGCCAGCATCCCAATTTTGCTTGGAGTAGCAACACCACTAAGCCACCTGGTTTCCCAGCACCAGCTGGTGGCTTTCAGTAGAGGCAGCCCTTCCAGGCTCGACAGGGGCCATCCCCACAGCCGCAGCCCTACCAGCCTAGGCAGGGGCAACCATTCCAGCAGCCCCAACGTCAGTTTGCCGAGCCAGCAGCAACTCCGGCTCTAGATACTCAGATGACGGAGCTGAAAAACATTCTAGCGGCATTCATGACTACCACCCAGCAGAGCATAGCCTCACTGGAGGCAGGTCAGAGGAACCAAGGTGCCATTTGGCAAGATTTGCAGAACCAGATGTGTAGCATGGCTCGCCAAAACACTACCAGGGCACCGGGGACTCTTCCTGCCACACTATTTCGAATCCGCGTGAGCCTCACCTGCACCAGCAGCTAGATGCCATCACTACCAGGAGCGGCAAGACCACATCTGCTGCTCCTGCCAAGCCCAGCCAAGATGAGCCACTACCTGCTTCAACACTTCCGCAGTATAACTTTCATGGAAACTGAACTTGGTAAATTGCAATCCGGCTTAACTGCGGTCTAGGGGGAACCATATCCAGGTGACCTCTCTCGACTTGAAAACAACTGTTTAACTTGCCTTGTGTTTTTGTTTGTTTGAACCTGCATTTAAGTTTTCACCGCTAGATAATAAGAATTCACTGAGTAGTCATCATATCTAGGACCCAGGTTGATATTAAAACCCAAACCCGCTATACTACGCTTTAGGAAGTGGTTACACTTGGCCAATTTCTAGAGTGACAGTAGGAGTGAGTCAATAAGCATTGCATGTGCATAGTTGTTTGTTTATGTATGATAACGAAATTAGGATTAGGATTGACCCCATCACCCGCATTTAGGAGCTTGAAGGAAGTGGGAGCAATCAGATCGCTCGTTAGGAGGAAGCTGCTACTCGAGATATCATCTTCACAAGGGTTAGTGATTGTAGAAGAATCCAAGTGAATTCCTTCACTTATGTATTTTTTTTCGCAGGCTTGAAAATAATGCTCATTTTTTATTTGTTAAAAAGGATTTCGTACTGTGATTTGAAATTATTTCTATTGTTCTTTCCATTTTGAGTTATTTTGATTACTCAAGGGCATTTTGGTAAAAGTAGTATTCGGCCGAGTTAGGGTGTTACCATGCTCTTCTTTGGAAGAAAAATAAAACCAGACTTCCCCTCAAATCTTCTTCACTCCTCCGGATGTGGATCAACTTGATGGTTGCAAAAAACTGCTGATTGCAGAATTGGAAGTAATCGATAGCACTAGGGAGACTCGAATGATTTTTTCCGGTGGTTCTTAAAAAAATTCAAATACAATAGTTTTTATAAGAAAAATTTAAAGTGCACATGTTTTTATCAAATCGCTTGTGACACAAGCGATCTACATGATCATTGCTGGAGAGAAAGGCGGTCACATATAAATCGATTTACTGTAAAGCAATGAACTAAAATCGCTTCCGAGACAAGTGATCTAAGTGCTAATCGCCTATTAATACAGCGATTCACTATATCATCGCTAATAAGAAAAGCGATCAATAATAAATTGTTATCCTCAACCGCGATTTTATTTAAACAAATACAAGGTTGGGGGTGGTGCATTTGTATTTTTTTTTCCACGATACTAGGGTTGGTGCAACGGTTTTCAGTTGATCGCTTTTGTTACACCGTAAATCGTCGTTGTCAAGCGCGATCAATATTAGGCACGAGGTTGGAGTTAGGTGCAGCGACCAATGTATGATCTCTTCAGTCAAAAGCGGTTGATCTGATTCCAATATAAAAATACAACACCAACACCCTATTTCACTCTCATTTCCTGTCTTCTCCAGCTTCGTAGCAAAAACTTCCCTCTTCTCCACCACACTTGTAGAAAATCCCACGGCCACACCATAACTCCATTCCCTCATTCTAACTATAAGGTATGTCTGAATTTCTTTAATATGGTAATGTTTTTTTATTTATAGAAAATGGGACGCTTACGGGCGCCCCTGCCTATAACTTAAGTAAAACGATTTTTGGCAATCCCCATAGTATCATACAAAATCCAGAAGTTAAGACCTGGATCCGAAATATCAAAATCATGGGTATCAAGACTCATAGAATAAGCCTTATTGGCTAAGTAATCCACTGCTTTGTTGCCCTCCCTAAAAATATGGGAGATTTCCACCTCCCAATCACGTTGCATGAGCTCCCTAAAATCGTGTGAGATTGTAGTACATCCCCGTCTCTTGGTCTTTTGTAGGTAGAATGTGGAAAACTGTGGTAGAGTCCAACCTCAACTTGATCTTTCTGTGGCCTTGATTCCATGCTAATTGTAAACCAATTAGAGCGTCAATGATCTCTGCTCACGTAATGCTACAACTGCCCAAATTGGCCACAAAAGCCTTCAAGCATTTTCCACCTTGATCTAATATGGTAATGTTTAAGTAGTTGTGTGTTTGTGCTTCAGTAATTTCTCATCGGGTTAATAATGCTAAATATTCAAATTAAAGTTGAATGTATGATGGTTTATGGTTTTGGATGGTGTATGCAGTGTAGTCAAGATTACGTTCTAAAGTATAAAAATCGTACATTTTTACCTTTTTAGACCATAAAAGCGCTTTAGTTTCCACCTAAAGTTGCCTAATGCATAGGAGTAAAAAATGTATAAGAACGTTTGTAAAAACAATTAAAGCGTAAAAAAATGGTAAAAACGCATTTTGTGGCTACTTTTACACGATTTTTTTCACAAGTTATAAGGGCCCAATCAAGCCAAGTACGTCATCGTTTTCGTGTAGGGGAACAAACAAAAAATTACAAAGGTCGGTGTTTGGTGCTAGCAGTTGCTGTATTCGAGAAGGGTCCAATTTGATGAAGTGGACCCTAATTGACTAATTCCTTTCCTCCAGCATCGCTCACCCTCAAAAGCTCAAACTTCTCTCTCAATTTTTGTCGGCTGTGTCACCCCTTGAGGGATCGATTGTCCTGGTGATAGCTGGATTTAGGGAAGAAAGGAGGAAGAATGCAGAGAAGAGAAGGAAAAAGACCAAAAGTAGTTACAACGGTCGTCGCGGTCTTTCTTTTATACAGAATGTACAATTTATATTTTAGTCACTCAACTTCTGTTTCTATCTCATTTAGTCCGTCGGTTACAACTCCCCACTCCTTCAGCAAAAGCTTGTCCTCAAGCTTGGAAATCTAGAAAGCGCTACTGAAATTCTGACAAAAACTCTCACGTTGCATCCTCCTCGCCTTGATGAGACCATTGGAAAAGGACCAGCGTTGCTGGCTTGTTATCCTTTGCTACCATTTTCCTAGCCAGAATGGCTGTTGGAGCCAGCTTCAGTACCCCTTGATCATCAACTTCAGGTAAGAATGGATGCACTGTAACAAGGGAATTAAATCTGGCTTTCTTGAGCAGTGAGACGTGGAACACATGATGTATAGCCGAGTCAGCTGGAAACTACAATCTGTAAGCAACTGCCCCAATTTTCTTCACTATAGGAAATGGACCAAAGAATCGAGGTGCCAACTTCTGGTTTGCTCGGCTGGCTACTGAGGATTGGTGATAAGGACGAAGCTTGAGGTAAACTAAATCTCCTTCTTGCAGAATTCTTTCAGTTCTGTGGGCGTCAGCCATCTGCTTCTGTTTGTTCTGAGCTTTAGCGAGATTGCTTCTCAGTATGTCAACCAATCTGTGTTGTTGTTGCAGCATGTCTGCTACTGCTGCTACTGAAGTGGACAAAGGGTTTTGGATGGCAAACTGAGCTGGAGCATAACCATAGAGAGCCTCGAAGGGAGATGTCTGCAAGCTGTTGTGAAAGTTCGTATTATACCACCACTCCGCGAAAGTCAGCCATGAAGCCCATTGTTGTGGACACAAGTGAACCATACCTAGAATATATTCCTCTAAACACCTGTTAAGCCTTTCAGTTTGCCCATCTGTTTGTGGATGATAGGCAGTAGAGTAGTGCAGTTTAACTCCTTGTAATTCGAAGAGCTTTGACTAGAATGAACTGGTGAAATGGCATCCCTGTTTGAGACAATCATCATAGGCATTCCATGTAATCTTAACACACCGTCAAAGAAAGTTTGAGCCACCATTACTGTTGTATATGGTTTTGACAATCCAAAGAAGTGTCCATATTTCGAAAAGAGATCCACCACCACTAGAACAGCCTCCTTCCCATTGGAACTTGGTAACCCTTCAATAAAGTCCATAGAAATATGCTTCCATGCCTGGTCTGAATAGGTAGTGGCTGCAATAATTCTGGGTAGGGAATGTTCTCCACCTTACACTTCTGACACACTTCACACAACAGGACATAATTCTTCAAATCAGACTTAATGTCAGGCCACCAAAATACCTCTTAATGCATTGATAACTTTCTTGCAACCCTAAACGTCCTCCCACTGGAGAATCATGAAACAAGCATAGCAATTGCTGTCTCATTGTGCCTGTTGAGCCCACATATATAGCAGACTTGTGATAAAGCAGCCCTTGGTGAATCCAGAACAGCCTAGCACCAATAACTAGAACTGCAGCCTCCACCATTATCTATTGCACCTCCTGATCTCCTGTGTATGTTGACTCCAACTCAGACAGCCAAGATGGTAGTACAACAGAAATGGGACAACAACCACCAAGTTCAGCCATAGGAGCAGCAAAGTCAGGGTGTCTCGATAGATCATCAGCAACATGATTAAACTTGCTCTGTCGATGGTGGATTTCAAAATCCAAACCCAGAAGTTTAACCAAACCTTTCTCTTGTATCTCTATATGAATCTTCTGCCTTAACAGATGTTTGAGGCTTTCATGGTCTGTGACAATTTTAAACGATCTACCCTCCAAATACTGACGCCACTTAGTGACTGCCAAAATGACAGCTAAGTATTCCTTCTCATAGGTAGAAAGCCCTTGTTTCCTTGGCCCCAAAGCCTGGCTGTGATAAGCTAATGGTCTGCCCTCCTGAGACAACACAGCAAATATGCCCACTTCGCTTGCATTGGTTTCTAGCACAAAAGGTTTGGAAAAATCTGGAAGAGCCAGAACTGGAGCAGTGACCATAGCTATCTTAAGAGCTGTGAAAGCCTCTTGTGCCGCCTCAGTCCACTTAAAACAACCCTTCTTCAACAGATCAGTGAGTGCCTTGCCAATGATCCCATAATTTTTGACAAATTTTCTGTAGTAACCTGTCATACCAAGAAAACCACGCAACTCCTTCACAGTTTTTGGAACATGCCAGTTCACCATGGCTTCTATTTTGGCAAGATCAGTGGTCACCCCCTCCTGATTGATGATGTACCCCAGATAGTCAATCTGAGTCTGTCCAAAAGCACACTTAGAAGGTTTGGCATACAAGGAATTAGCCTTTAGAATAGACAAAGCAGCTGCCAGATGTTCCTTGTGACTGTCCTGATTAGGGCTATAGATCAATATATCGTCAAAGAAGACCAATATAAACTTCCCGAGATGAGGGCTGAAAATCTTATTCATGAGTGCCTGGAATGTGGCCGGGGCATTTCTAAGTCCAAATGGCATAACAGTGAACTCATAGAGTCCTTGATGTGTTCTGAAAGCTGTCTTGTGTTGATCCACAGGCCTCATTCGAATTTGGCGGTAGCCAGAAAGTAAGTCAAGCTTTGTGAAAAACTTAGACCCTCTCAGTTCATCCAGTAGATCACCAATCACAGGTATGGGAAACTTATTCTTAATGGTTAAATCATTCAACTTCTTATAGTCTACACAAAATCTCCAGGACCCATCTTTCTTAAGTACCAACAATACTGGAGAGGAGTAAGGACTTCGACTAGGCTGAATGTAATGAGATTCCAACATTTCCTCTACTAACCTATCCATTTCATTCTTCTGTGGAATAGAATATCGATAAGGTCTTAGATTTACCGGTTGAGAATTTGGCTGCAGTGGTATAGTGCGATCACAGTCCCTTGAAGGAGGTAGACCCTGAGGTTTCCCAAACACATCGTTGAAATCTTGTAGAATTGACTCCAAGAAGTCAGGTGGCTGATTCTTCAAGGCATTCATTTCATTTAAGCTAGCCATCTGATCCACAGCCTGCAAGCTACAGATCTGTCCCATGAAAGCAATTTCTGATTTATCCCATAACTTCTGCAAGCTTTTACCTTATATCAATTTACACTGAGCCATGTTCTGAATACCAGATAGCACCACTTCCTTACCCTGCCAGTCAAAGAACAACTACAACCCAATGAAATCAAACTTGACAGGACTGATAGTCTTCAGCCAGTCTAAACCCAGCACAACATCATTTGAACCCAAACTCATAATCCTCATGTCGTACTGGAAAGTGTGCCCTTGCATTTCCCAACAAAATCCTTTACAAACCAAGTGGCTGAGTAGAACTGTCCCATCTGCTAACTTCACCCTTAAAGGGTTGCTGGCTAGAACCAACTGGCACTATAATTCTTTTGCTTTCTTGTTACTGAGAAAAGTGTGAGTACTAAATGTGTCCACCAGAATATAAATCTTGTCACTCTTAACCTTTCCTTGGATGATTAACGAGTTAGCCATTCCACCACTGCTCAGAGCGTGCATCGAGACTTCTTCCAGCTCAGGGTGGTCAACCTCCACACTAGGTTCGACCATATCTTCCTCTTCTGGATTGTGCCATGAATCAGTAGTGCCATCCTCACTCTCAGCCTGCAGAATATTAAGCTACTTCTTTGCATCACACACATGCCCAAAGAAATATATGTCCCCACACTTATAACCGACACCCCTCGTGCCATTGTTCTTCTGATTCAACATTGGAGATTTCACTCCACCAGTAGGCTTGACAACAACATTTGTCCAACGGCGAGGCTATGTAGTATTGGTGCTATTGGTAGCCACCATAGGACGACTAGGCATTCCTTGACTACTACGCCACTTCTTTTTGCGAGCTAGGTTTGACGCCTCCTCCAGCTGTGCAAACTGGAATGCATCAGCGAGAGTCTGAGGTTTCCACATCTGCAAAACAGGACACAATTCTTCTTCTAATCCACTAATAAAGCCACTGATGAAGTAGATTTCATCCAGAGCAGGGTTGAATCAAGCCATCAAAGAACGAAGTTTCTCAAATTTCTCCTGGTAATCAGCTAAGGAACCCCGTTGACGGAGCTTATTAAACTCAGCCACCACTCCTCCATACGTGCGATTCCCAAATCTCTGGCATAAAGCTGCAACAAAATCCTCCCATACCAATTCACGTCGACCAATTTTCCATCCTTCGAACCAGAGATCGATCTGCACGACGTTGAAAATAGATCACCGCCAAATTCTCGCATTTCTGCGTCCACTCACGAGGATCTTCGCCATTAAAAGACGGAAAATCGAGTCTAGGAAGCTAATTAAACTGATTATGATTACCTGGGCCTGGAACTGGAAGTTGTTCCCGCTCTGCTACTAGATTGATCGGAGCGTGAACCCTAGGCGCCTGTTCCAAGATAGGATCAACTCCCCTGAATCCATGGTTAGGTAAAGGAAGGATGCCTCGGGCACCATTCCGGTCTATCGGCGGAACTCCCGCACTGGCAATAGCGCCCGCTGGCCGTGGATTCACCACCACTTGAAGCATATTACAGATCACCTGTGTGAATTGACCAAAACGATAGTCGATTCGAGCCTCCATTTCAGCGAAACGTGTTGCTGAACTCGCCTCCATGGAGTCCAAACGAGTTTTTAAAGTAACAAATTGCTGGGAATGGCCATCAGAATGAGTCATAATCTCCTAGAACAGAGTAGCCTGAGAATCCACCATACTCTGAACGTTGGCGATTTTGTCGTCGAGAGCTCCTTGCGCCTGATTGGTGGACGCCATTAAGCTGGTGAGACGTTCGTCAATGGTTCCTCGCGCGTTCGTCATTGAAGACATGAGCCAAGACAGAGCTCTGATATCACCTTGTCACCCCTTGATGGATCGATTGTCCTAGCAATAGCTGGATTTAGGGAAGAAAGGAGGAAGAATGCATAGAAGGAAGAAGACAAAGTCAGAAAGGAAGAGAGAGAGAGAGAGAGAGAGAGAGAGAGAGAGAGAGAGAGGGAAAGGTAAAGTTGTTATTAAGGCCAAAAGTAGTTACAACGATCGTCGCGGTCTTTCTTTTATACAGAATGTACAATTTCTATTTTAGTCACTCAACTTCTGTTTCTATCTCATTCAGTCCGTCTGTTACAGGCTGTTGTCGTTCTCCACCGTTAGACGCTTCCGGACGCATCCTCCTCCACCTCTGCCCGCTGCAAAACTCGTCCTCCAGCGCTGCAGCTGCAGGAGTAGGAGAAAAGGAATCGTCCATCACCACAACTCGTCCTCCGCCATTGCTGTTGCAGGACTCGATGCCTAGTTTGCTATTTTAATAACCAGAAATTTCATATTTCAACAGAGCCTCCGAATAAGCCACCAAGTATTATTATTATTTAAACTCACGGTGATTACTCATACTCGTTCTTTGTTTTTTATGCAATATCTTCCTACATGTAAGTTTTTGAGTGTGTAATGTTTGGTGAGAGTGCAGTGAGTCAATGATTACTGTCGAGGATTAATAAATAGATACTTTGTACTTATCACCTTTCTCTAGACTGCGAGAGAAGTTGAATTGCTATTTTGAGGCCACTTAGCTTTGGCGCCTTTAATTTTTAGCTATTTTAGAGGATGCATAAACTACTTATTAATAGAGTGTATTCGGTGTAGTTGTAGTTCCTCGTAATACAAGTATTCCTGTCCTAGTTGTACATGGTTAGTACGTCTGTAATCTGGGCTATAAATACCCATCTCTTGTTAATAATACAACACACAATTCCCATATTCTCTACATGGTATCAGAGCTGGTTCTCTAGCCCTAGTTTTTTTCCGACTTTGGCGTCTACGTTCAATGCTCTAGTCGTCGTTCATCATGTCTGATCTCTCTTCTGCTTTCGATGCCACCAGCGATGGCGCCGCTGCTTCCGAAGCTGCCTTGGTCACGTTCAATCTGGCAGCTTCTCTCCCGTTGAAACTCACGGCTCTCAATTTTCCCTCTTGGCGTGCTCAACTCATGTCTCTCACGCTGGTCTCGACCTCATCG